CCCCAAAACCCCAAAACCCCAAAACCCCAAAACCCCATTCAATAAAATCATAATTGAACTATCATTTTACATATTCTGAAGGAGCTCTAATATCTCTATCTTATTCTCAATCAGTGCAAGATCTTCAGGAGACATTCCTGATGAGTTCTTCAAGGATGGGTCTGCAGAGTTATGCATCAATAGGGATATGATATCCTTTGAACCTGCACTGACAGCTAGATGTAGCAAAGTAATCTTCTCCTTGATTCCTTTGGTTTTGTACTCAAAGAAATGGTTTGTATTGACTATTCCAAAACATACGATAGGATAGATCTTAGTAAGATCGTCTTCTTCAATAGCCTTTATACATATCTTAATCAGATCATCTTGCTTTTTACTTGAGCTAGGAATTCCTTGGCAAAACTTTCTCTTTTCATACTTGTTCTTTATAAAATCTTTCATGCTGCTCTTCTTTCTGTCCTTCTCAACAGAAGATTTTTTAGCTTCAAAGACCTTATAGTTAATTTCGTTATTAATCACACTTGTCAGAAACCTTAGTGTGTTCATCGTCTGAAGGTCAAGTGTCAGTGATCTCACTCTGCTTACATCAGTGCTCAGTCCACGGTGATGACCCGAGCAAGTAATGCAGATAAGGACTCCGAGGTTCAAGCTAAACCATTCTGGGAAGGGATTTTTGCAATCAGCACAAATATTTTGATTGACCATCTGTTTAACCTCTTCATTAATCAGTCTCGTCTTCTCATCTGCTTTGCGTTCCTCTCCTTCACCCTCAAAATCTACTATTTCCATATCATTATCCTGCTGGAAAGTTAAGGGTCTCTTGTTATCAGAGCTTGCTTTAGTGTTCTTGAGCCCATGATTCTGAGGATTCTCGATAAGTCTCTGCATTTTCAAACTCAAGACATTAATCCACTCTTCCATTTCTTTGAAATTTTCAACTAAAAGAAAGAAAGTTTTGTTATCTTTCACACTCATGATTTCGACCACTGGGAGTCCAGGGTAATCAGAGCTTCTACGGATCTTTGCTAGGAATATATTGCAGAAGAGTTTGGCATCACTAAAGTTGTACCTCTCGCTCTTCTTACCTCGTTTGACTGTATACAAGTTGTCGTCTCTAACAATAAGGTATCTGAGGAGCCATTCCTTTATGGAATTTTGCTTAAAAACAAATCCTTCTTTTTCGGTAAGTCTTAAATTAGGAGTATCAACGTTCTCTGAGTCTCTTCTGCACTTGTCCTTTTCCTTCTCAAGCTGCAGCTTGAGATGTTTAAGAATATTATTACGTGCAGCAACCTTCTTTGTAGAACTATGGAGCTGAGGCTCCAACCTTTCAAAGAGAGAAGATCCTTGCTTGAAGAAACTTCCAAATGAATAGATTCAAACACATACTTTATCAATCAGGTCAACTTTTGTGTGGATAATGATCTCATTAAGTTTGTCAAGGTACCTTAGTTTGATATCGCCTAGCTCTACCTTAGAATCAACAATCTTTTGCTGAATCAGCTCTGGTGATGTCTTCTTTGGAACAACCTGCTTGCTAATGTTGTTGAAGTACTCATCAAACTTCTTGTTATAAAGCTTCTTCTCATCTTTAACTTTTGAAATGAAATTTTCTTCAAATTCTTTAATATATTCTAGTAAGGAGCTCCTTACTGATTCATATAATGAATCTTGCATAGAGGCAAGCTCTCTGAGCATATCTGCAAAACTGTAGAGATCATTAACAATTTCTGTAGAGAAATCAAAGGCTATTAAGTCCTCCATAAAAATTTTATGTAATTCATGAAGATTTTTCGAAGATTCATGCCCTCATTGGGCAATTTTATCAATCCCTAGGGCCCATCTCTGAAATACTGCTTCAATATGATCCATTTTCTCATCCCATTCTTCAAAATATGGAGAATGCAGGGTCTGATTACCTTCATACTTAACTAGAGCTTGATTAAATGAAAATGAAATCATATTTTCATCATATAGTTCACTTTTTGATTCAGTGGAGTGCTTATCGCTATCTTTTTCTTCGTCAAAAAATTCATCTCCATCCATAGACTCGCGCTTGAATCTCTTGAGAACATCCCTGTTGTATTCCTTTTGTTTATCTTTAAGGGTTTTATTAAATTCCGCTTGTTTTTCAACCTCATTCTCAAGTTCTTTAATTCTTTTATGAAGTGAAAGATTCTCTTCTTCAACCTTCTGCCTTCTTTGTTCACTTACTTTCAGTTCACTCTCCAACCTCTCTACCTTGGTAAGTTCAAATTCCGGAAGGGAGTCCAAGATACTAGCTCTCTGGATATGTGCCTCTAAAGTCTTGGCTCCTTCGAAGGTAGGGCCTGGGATTCCATCTCCTTTCATAGAATGGTATTTTATAGAAGACTTATTTTATTTTCTTGACTACTTTTTCATTCTTTCTTTCAAATGGCTGGTCATCTTGGTCTTCAGATGCCTCTTGATCATCACTGTCATCATGTATAGCGTCAAACTCAACCTCTTCTTCCTCGTTCAATGTCAATTTCTGTCTTTCTTCCTTCTCCATTTCAATATTAAATTATAATATTGGGGTTTTGGGGTTTTGGGGTTTTGGGGTTTTGGGG